CCAATGTCATAAAACAATATGTATACTACTATTTCATGAGAAACTATTTGTTCTGTAAGCCTTCACCTGAAGTACAATTTAAAAAAAAAAACAAAAAAAAGTTAAGTCTTTATTAGACTTTCCCGCTGGCATAGAGCTTTTCTTTTTCTTGTCACACCTTTACTCTCCTAATTCTTCACATGTACCCAGTCCAAATGGCCAGCACAGGATGTGTGAAGTTTATATTTTCAGCTACATAATTCAACCAAGACCTGGAAAACTTAAAAACAAAATTACTACTGTATGTTATCTTTATCTCTCTAAATGATTGTGGTTCCAACTGCAAATAAAAGGGACCAATTAAAGACTGGAAATAGGACTTAGGAAAAAAATTTTTTTCAGTTAAGACCGTTCACTTTAAAAATAGGAAAAAACAAAAAACTGAATGAAAACATTTTCCTGGAATGGCAACACGTAGAGTCACTGACCTCCACTGAGTAAACTGGCTTATGATAGTAACTGACAATTATATCACACTTTGGATTTTTCAAAGCACTTTCACAAAATGTACGTTACTTAATTGTCCCCAAATTACCCTGTAATATATTTAGATCATTTCTCATTTAGCCCTTTTTTTTTTTTGGTACTTAAGTTAGACACCAAAATGAAGGCCCTGGCTGTGACATTTCAAAACAGGGGGTAGTCTCTGCATTTCTAATATTATTCAATTCTTAGATGCCACGTTGAAAAGCAAGTGGTCATATTTATTGAGGATACACTGCTATAATTTTTTGACAAAACTACAGAAATAACTGAATATTTAAGTAAAAGTAGCAGAAAGTGAAAAATTGATGTTTATCAAATAGCACAAAAGAAATGACAAAATTTAAAGCATTTTTAAGCGCTTAAGACTCTTGCAAAGATGTGCTGCAAGAAAAAGAATTAGCAATATTTGCCAACATTTTAAATATTAATCCCTCATTCATTTATTCAGCACACATTTACTGAGTACCTGGTATGTGGCAAGCACTATTCTAAGCCCTAGTGATTTTGTGTTGAAAGGATTAGTAGTTAGTTCCCTACTCTAATGAAGTACAAATCCTAGAAAACAAATTTTATTTGCTTAGATTAAAAAAAAGCGTGAAGAGAATAGATGCAAATAACCAAAATGAGAAATCAAAGAGGGGACATTACAACTGACCCAACAGAAATAAAGAGAATTACGTCAGAATATTATGAATAACTGTATGGCAACAAACTGGGTAACCCAGATGAAATGCACAAATTCTTAGAAGCACACAACCTACCCAAACTGACTCAAGAGGAAATATCCTTAACAAGTGAAGAGATTGAATCAGTGATCAAAAACCTTCCCCCCACCCCCCAAAAAAAAGTCCTGGACTAGATGGCTTCACTGGGAAATTGTACCAAACATTTATAGAAGAATTGATACCAATACTGTTTTAAACTCTTCCAAAAGATAGAGAAGGAAGGATACTCCCTAATTCATTCTATGAAACAACCATAATCCTGATACTAAAACCAGAAAATGACACCACAAGAAAAGAAAACTATAGGCCAATATCTCTCATGAACATAGATGCAAAAATCCTCAACAAAATACTAGTGAATAGAACCCAAGAGTATATTAAAAGAGTCATACACCATGACCAAGTAGGCTTTATTCCAGGAATGCAGAAATGGTTCAACATTAGCAAATCAATCAATGTAATACACCACATCGATAGAACAAAGGAAAAGAACTACATGATCATCTCTATGGATGCAGAAAAAGCATTTGATAAAATCTAACACCCTTTCTTGATGAAAACCCTAAAGAAGATTGGAACAGAAGGTAAATTCCTCAATATGATTCAGGGCATATATAAAAAATCCTGGGGACTATAAGGAAAAAGATAATCCATATCTTCATAGAGTTCAGTCAACCAAAAAACCAAACCAAATCCATTGTCGTCGAGTTGATTTTGACTCATAGTGACCCTACAGGGCAGAACAGAACTGTCCCATAGGGTTTCCAAGGAGCAGCTGGTGGATTTGAACTGCCGACCTTTTAGTTAGCAGGTGAGCCCTTAACCACTGTGCCACTAGGGCTCCAAGTTCAGTCTAAAGGAAAGAAAATACCTAATGCAGTCGTCAAAGCTAGACTTCCAGAGTGGCAGGGGAAAGAGCAAGGTCAGGGAAGAGAAGGTAATCTCTGAGCTGAGTATAGATGGGAAGAGGGTGCAATCGCCTTTCAGGTAGAAATTTAAAGTGGAAGGGTCAAGGAGTAATAGGAGTATCCAGGTGAAGATTTTAGCTGGCACTAAATCAGAGACACTCTCATATTCTATGCAAAGGGCTTTGCATTTTATCCTGACAGAAGAGGCAATACTTTGGCAAAGAACTATTCCGATAACCCAAGCAAGGGATCTAGTACTCAGTTACCTTCAAGTCAACTCGAAATCATGGAGACCCCATGTGTGTCAGAGTTGAACTGTGCTCCATAAGGTTTTCAAAGGATGATTTTTCAGAAGTAGACTGATCTCCAGGCCTTTCTTCTGAGGCATCTCTGGGTGGATTCAAACCTCCAACCTTTTAGTTAGCAGCCAAGTGCATTAACCATTTGCACCACCCAGCTAATTCAAGCAAGGTATACCCATTGCTGTCAAGTTGATGCTGACTCATAGTGACCCTATATGACAGAGCAGAACTGCCCCATAATGTTCCCAAGGCTGTAATCTTAATGGAAGCAGACTGCCGTTATCTTTCTCCCTCAGAGCGGCTGGTGGGTTCAAAATGCTACCTTTCAGTTAGCAGCTAAGCACTTAACTACTGTGCCACCAGGGCTCCTTCAAGCAAGGTAAAGGAGGGTCTAAATTAAGGAGGTGACATGAAAGATAAAGTACAAATTATCATGCTATACATTCTCAGAGATACAAAAACTAAATTGAAAAAGACATGGATGGCCTTTGCCTTCATCAGGTTAAAGAGGTAAGACACACAGACACATGAAATGCTAATTGAAACCAAAAGGTAAAAGATGATGTGTAAAATGAGTGATACAGACCATAGTACTATAGTAAAAAGCACTATAATAGTTTAGAGACAAGGAAGATTGCTATAGCTGATGTCTGAGTGCGTGTCTAGGGAAAGGGTGTCATTTACAAATAGTGTGAAATTGTTCCAAACAAGGGGAATGACTCATGCAAAAGCCCAGAGCAGAGGTAGTAGTCAAGTCTAAAAGAAATGGAAGAATAGTGTTGAAAAGTAGTGAAAGACAAGGTGAAAAATAATTTAGGAGCAGATTGAAGAGGTCCTTAGAGTCACGATTAAAGGGTTTGGGAGATTAGACTTTATCCTACTCAAAGTGGAGGCCCAAGGAAAGTTTTTTTCAGTAGGGTCATAATTAGGGTCTTGATGAAAAAGATATTTTAGAAAGACTTGTCTGGTGACATTGTTTAAGATACAATGGAAGGAATGGAAAGAGCCTGGAAGGAGATAAGGCCAATTAGGAGGCTACTGCAATAACTCAGGGAAGATAAGTGCCTGAACACAGCAGGCTTAGAAAAGAAAGGTACGGGAAAAACGGGTTTCATGAAGGAAGAAACTCCAGAAATTGTTTGCTAGATTCTTGGTTTCCAAAAAGAAGTTGTATGTGTTAATTCTTTTATTACAGGGGCCCTTCCCAAATCTCTCCTTTAAACAATGCCATTTTTACAACCACAGTTCTTGTACTTACACAAGTAATTACTAGTCTGGGATGTATTTGTTTCTTTAAGTGACTGTGGCTAAAAAAATTGAGAATAAAAAGAAAAGATCAACCTCTGAAGTTCTGTCCTACATGGAAAAATAAAGCAAAACCAGGTGTGTAGGGGAAACCATGGATTTCAAAACACAAAAGGACCAAGAGGTAATTTTCCGTACATTTTTCTCATGAAAGTATTAAGTATTCCTCGTAGAAATACTTTCCCTTTCAGCGGATCTAATTAAACGAGGTACGTCAAAGTGTTTCAAAATGAATGAAGCATTCATACATGTGTTAGGAATTGTAAGAAAAATACGTGCTATTTCCCTATCATTTTCTTTGACATGTTTGATCCTTGCCTTTAAAGATAATGTGACTGACCCACTATTACCTAGGAATACACTGGAACTACTGATTGGGATGAGTTGGAGATAAGGTACAGTCAATTAAAGCAACATATAGATTCACTCTGTGAAAACACTAGCCTTAAATCTAAGGGCTTAAATCTAAATTACTGGCTCCATAACCAACCACCTGAGTTAACGAATCCAATTACGAGTTATAACAAAAAAGAGGACCTCATTCTCCTTCCATACTACTTAGTGTACTGGACTTTACTACTCAAAATTAGAAGCTTTCACATCAAATTTTCATTAGTCATAAAATATTTATGCTTCCTATATAAGGAATAAAATTAACCAATCTATTTCAATATTGAATGACTTTCTAAATTTTACCTTTCTTACCTTTTAAAAAAAAAAAGTTTTCTGAATACAAAAAAGAAAGGAAAATCCTTCTGTGTCAGTTGTTCGGGTTAATATAAGACCTAATTGCCTCATACTCTATAATTTTGCCACCAGTTTACAATTAGCATGCATTTCTCATGCATGAGCTGACCCAATTACATAACAAATTTCGCCTTTGGGGATTTCTCTTGACTGCTTGTCTTCTGTCCACCATACAACTCAATTTCACACTGTCAGCAGCCTGAACATGGTTACGGTCAATCTCTGTCAAAATGATTTATTTAAATTACAAACAGAAACCAAATCCCTAGATAATTAACCCTACCCTCATGCTTACCCTTAACACTCAACCTAACTCTGAATCAAATCTTTTAACAGTCCACAGACACTGCTATTCAATTATTAGGCAATATTTAGTTCCAATAATCTAATATTTTTTAAGCCAACTCACAAAATCGCAGGGAACTAAATCAGCAGTATCCATGTGAGCTTATTAATGTGCATATAATTTATTTTACATTCTAAGAATTCAATTAAAAATGATGTATCTGTAAAAAAAAAACAAAAAAACTAAAAATAAGTACATTTCAGTCTCAAACTACAGAGACACTACTTTTCCCACAATATTGAAAAGGCTCCAATCTTAGCTTTTCTTGTAAAGCAAGTCAGCATTTCTTATGAATGGGGATGCTAAACTGAACACAGGAGGAAAAGAGCTATTTGGGAAACAGGATAGATAACCAAAATTATAGATAATGACAGTGTAAGGGAAAGTATATAGGGCAGGTGAAAATGCTATTGTCTGCATTGTCTGTGGGCCAATGATCTAAGGAAAGCGGGTTCTAAGATTTCAACTGCAGCCATCACACATAGGCACATGTGCAGGCAGACACGCAGATACACACACACACACACACACACACACACACACACACACACTCAGACATGCACAATTATTTCCTGTATGATTCAGAGACAGGCACAAATCCTGACAAATCAAATAATGATATACTTTTTTTTTCATTCCATTTGTAAAACACATGATTTTTGTCATAAATTTTTTTCCTTCTTTTTCATATGACAGTTCTCCTCCTAAAATAAATTAGAAAATAAATACCTAGTTTTTATCTACAGCACAAAGATTATAAAAGTCTCTCTAGTGTTTCACTTTATCATTTATTTTACAATTTATCCACAGACTGTCTCAGCTAATTGGAAGTGCGGTTTATATTCGTGTGTAAACAGGTAGAACGAAAGATGCCAATAATCTTCTCAAGGCTAGACTGAGTCCTTTGGATAAACGTGCAGCGGTGATTCTGCTTGGCAATACTGCTGCAGGTAACTTGTAGGCACTACTTATAAACTTAAAGGTGGTAACCACCTGAAATTAGAAACAGCCTAGGCAATTACCCACAAGAAGCAGAACTATAACAGTAATGGATTAATGGTTTTTAAAATGCTGAAAGACACAGGCATTCCTCAATTCATGTTTGTGCAATGTCCATTAAGAACATTTTCCTAAAATATTTCTAAATAAAATGTGGAGATATACTAGGATACTTCTGTCATTTGTGATTTTACACCCTAGAATGGGGGAAGGCAGGGGGAGGCCTTAGGTGACCTAATTATGAAAATCTGTCGGGCAGACCTTATTGGCGCAAAGCCCCTAGTCAGCACTGCCCACAACGGCTGCCATGTTTCCTTCTGCTGCATAGGCACACTTTAAGCAAAACCTGGGCTTCTCAACATTATTTCAACCAAGTGGTTTGGCTGGATTTCTTGGCTTCCCATAGGAAGAGTCCCAAGTCTAATACTCCATCTTATAAGCAACCAGTCAAACTCCATCTGAATATTAATATATTAAATAAAATGAAGACATCTTCTGGAATTTTGTGAAACAAAAAAATCTTTTAAATTTTAGAAACCAGGTTCTGTTTCTTTGCAACCATTCAGTAAATTCTGAAACCCTGTCTCTTTTCTTGTTCTTCCTACAGCTATACTAAGTGGGTAACACAGCAGAAGAATTTTAAATTGCAGTATTTAATAAATCACCCATGTTCAATACTTTGTCATTATAGATACCAGAAGAAAGAAGCCAGGGCTTACCCACTCTAACCCCTTTCATTACACACACAATTTGAAATTTACAGTTGCATTTTATTCCATACCTCATAACATATGCAGGCTTAGCGAGTATTTCCAAATGATGTAGAAACCTGGATAAATGAATATGAGTAGCTGAAAAAATATCATAATACTGACACAGACACGAGCAATCAAAAACACCTATTCATCCATAACATATTACCCAAAATACCTAGAAGCTGTCATTAAATCCACTGTTTTATGTCTTTATACCTTCTTGAGGCCAAAAGCAATTAAAGGTAGTTTAGAAAGATCCACACAATATTGAAAGATTGAAAAAAACTAAAAACAAATGAGAAAATAAAGCAAAGAGAAAAATAAGGATTGCAAACAAAGACCTCTGATTTAGTCAGCCTATGCTCAACTTGGAGCACCAATGTAAGGCTCACAAGTCTCCTAACCCTTATCATTTTTAGAGGACTCAGCTCCATTCTGGCCTCTCTAGCAGGAAAATTCTGGTGTCTCTCCCATTTGGACATGTTCTCAACCTTCTTCCTCTCAAAACAGACACAAATACCTGTCTTGATTTGGCCAATATATTTCAGTGTCTGGGTTAATTTAAAAGTAATATGGAAAACCGGACTAGCCGAAGTACCACCTGGGTGAGCAATGCCAAGTTTCTCAAAGAAAAATATTCCTGAGTACAGTAATTTGGAAAACCTTATGAGGTAACAGTGTTCATGAAGTTGTAGCCTTCGAAATGACTAAGAAGTTCACTAGACCTAGAATGTTTAACAGTCTCCCCTATTCAGGAGTAGTTCCCAAACAGTAATATTGTGAAATCTATATTTTTTACTGCTATCCAAACATTAACAGGCCTCATTACGGCTAAAAGAACTACTTTTAAGATTGCTATGGTTACTAACATCTAGACAATGCAAAAAGTGTCTTTAAAAAAGGTTTTGTTTAAATTATATGCTCAATCTAAATGATATTTTGTATAT